TTATTTATACGTTGTTTATTTAATCGCTTTCATAAATATGTATTTCCTAGGTGAAAGTGTTTCAAAAAGCGCTCAAATACTGGCAAATCGCATCGACAAAATATCTATAACAAATTCAACTAAAACATACAAATGAATGTAGTATAAAAGTAAAATACCTTTTCAGCATTTAAATCCATCAAATGGTTGGCCCAAAGTCCACACAAATACAAGGAAAAATAAACGCAAATATCAATGTATTGAAGAAATTGTGTTGTTTCTCATTTGTTGACCAGAAAATAGTCGTATGTACTCGTATGTTACTCGTATGTACTTGTATGTTACTCGTATGTACTCGTATGTCACTCGTATGTACTCGTATGTTACTCGTATGTACTCGTATGTACTCGTGTGATGTTTTAGTCACGATCGTTTAATCATAGCATTCCAATTTCTATCCAATCGGCATGCACAAACGACGCACAGTTCACCTTATATGGAGGTGAGTGCTTCAATGCTCAATCGATTCTCGTCAGTCATACGTTTTCATCACAAAATTAAAAGATAAATTCCTTGCCATTTTGAATGAAAACATTTTTTTTGATTCTTTTAAATGTCTTGATTGTTTTGATTCTTTTGAGTTTTAAAATGCTTTTGATTAAAAGTATGATACGTTGTTTACTCCACCGAACAATCGTCCGCATGTTTACAAACGTAGAAACGGACTATATTATAAAACTGTAGTTTTGTTTCCATTATTTCCTTTATAACATTTTGATAGAACCTTTTTTCCGATGATTCTGTGCGACTGCGATAAAATGATGTATAGTTATCGCAAAGAGCAAACGTTTCATCATATTCATAATTCATATTTCATCGTTGAACTCGCACCATGCGTTTAAATTATTTTTGACGTTTTGTTAAATCCACACCGATATTTCAAGTAATAATAAAAGCTCTAACGAAAATAAATACATGCTTACACTATATTTTGCTCACCGTCTGACCATAGAGCGCAAGATAAAAAATGTGAACCGAGCTGGCTAAACACGACACGGTGAATCGATTTCATGTGTTTTTTGCCAAACGAGATATGTGTAATTGATGTCGGTAATCACTCGATTTTGGTATCTACTGTATAACGTTGTTTAGGCCGCATATCTATTCGGATTCCAGACATTTAAAATCAAAGAGAAACTGACAGGAGTTCCGAAAGGTTCTACCTTATTGTGATTGTTCTTCCCCCCTCATTCCGTAAAATTCCCCCCCGGAAATGTTAACAGACAGACACAAATCGAGATTTTACCTCTATATAGGTCGAGTAGAGGAATGGGCCGAGACATGTGAAGATTAGTGTGCTGCCACGCTGATGCGTGGCAGCAATAATAGATTACTTTATGGTTGGTCAGTGCGTATGGTTGGTCAGTGATTCACCGCATTGATCAAACAGCAGAGAGAAATTATTGCAACAAAGGGCTCGAACATTTAATTTTTGCTAAAATCCATAAACTTCATTCAATAAATTAAAATTTTATTGTAAGTAATCATGTCACAAACAGAACTTATTCTGACAAAAACCAGTTATAGTTAGTCTTAATGCCATTATTTAAATCGTAATACTTTACACAGTAAAATGTTTACCAAAAGGTGAAACACAGATACACCAGAAAACTTTTTTAAAACATTTGACAGGGGGAAACTGTGCCAAGCCAACACCAATCCAATTCACAAAAGCATTCAGGAAGCTTTTTTATGTTCACTTCTCACATCATCAATAAGCATCCATGCCAAATATATAAATAATCTCCTGATTGAATTTAAAAAGGCAGAAATAACAAAGTTAAGTCATGTGGACCATATGGCAGTATATGTTTTACAAATTGCTATTCAAGCACTCTATTGGTGGAGGCCAACATGCTGCTGCTTATGTTCCAACTTACTCAAAAAGTCATTCAAGCTTCACAAGTCACAACTGTGATGAATACAAAATATTTTGGCATCAGATGACTTTCATAGTGGCCATGCAGCATCGCTTGTGATAGTTTAAAACACATGGGTAGACAATTTTGGTGATTCGAATGTCCTGCAAACGTTGTTTGCAATATATAAACAAACTGGAGGATAATTTGATTTGTTACTTCTTTCAAATATCTTCAAGATTCTCTGCAGAATTCTTATATGATAAAATTAAAACTGACGACAAACCATATACCGAGTACGCATCTCGTCAGATACATATCTACTTTGTAAATATTCCGAATAAACCCTCATTTATCAAAACGGACGTCGAATTACTGATAAATTGTTGAGAGCTTGATGTGTTAACTGTATCCACACAAAAAATATTAAAAAAATGGGCAATCTATAGAAATATTTGGGTTTATTTGCCAAAAACCCATCCGTAGAACTATATATTATATTACGATCTGGCTGCACTCATCTGGCTGGAAACATGGCCGCCGTTTAAAATACCCGGATTGTAGAACTCAAAACAGGGGACACGAACATCAAAGCTTCCGACATCGAGTGATGCTTCTGTATGTATCTATTCTGTGACTTGGGACACAGGACGTGGGATTACACATTGTATGGATTGTATTATAGAGTCACCACAGTGCTCAAACCTATAAAGGTGAGCATTGCATATCGCGAACACGGTGAACGTCTCCATATGAGACTCTCTACACAACCCGACAGTGCTCAAATTACGCACGCGCAGTGAGCGTAGTGTCTATGGCGTGTATCACATTACATAACGTGTATCGACAAAAACTGCGCTCTGCGTTTCTTTCAAGATTTAGCCAAAATCTTTAATTATTCCTATAAAAATCTATTACACTTTGTTGCTGAAGTTTTTGTGATCGTTTTGATACAACTTTCGACTTTTGTGGTATAAAATTTGATATCAATTGATCAACTGGTAATATCACTATTATGTCTCGCCGAACAAAAAACAGTCTATCCACGCTTACAGATGCTGATATTAAAAGCTTGATTCTGAAATTTCCCAAAACAGATGAAACCAAAGAAAAAGATATTCCATCAGAAAGATCTCCCAAAGATAAGGGAAACAAGACGAAAGAAAATGAAAAGTGCACGGAACCTAATGATAATGAACCAAAATTACGGGCGCACGTGGTTGATGTTGAGAAATTTGTTTTAACGTTACCCAGCATAGACAAAATTGTTTCAAAAAAGTTAGACATCGACGATAATGCAAGTAAACTCGACCAAATCCTCACTCGTCTACGTATTTTAGAAGAAAAATCGAAAAACGATAACGAAAAAGCCGTCCTTCTAGTAGACAACGCGAAAATGGCAGCTGAGATTGACCATTTGAAATTTTCTATTAGCATGCTAAGAGAAGACAACAATCGAATCTTGTCTCTCCTTGATAACAATCAAAATGCTTGGATAGATGCCAATCGTAAGAATGAACCCAAGACCAACAAAAAAAACCCAACAACTAATCCTCTTCTAGCAGACTCTAAACCGACCACTGATGGTACTTTAACTCTGTCGAATACGTTTCAAGTTCTCGCCAATGAGAATATATGTCCCTCTCCGGAGAAAGAAAGTCAGATTCAGAATCAAATTGGTGAACATAGATCTTTCCACAAATCCAAATCGGTAGTGAATGTTTTGCTTATGAGCACTGCAAGCAAAAATTAGATCCTAGGTGTTCAAAAGGAATTTTTGTTGGATTTGACAGCGAAAGTCCAGCGTACTTAGTGTATTTCCCGAAAAGCAATAAGGTTTTAAGGTATAGAATTGTGAAGTTCATCCAGAAGAATGTTTGTGAGCGTCAAACACAGACAACTGAGATAGAAGATTTGGGATTGCCAGTTGAAAGCAAGGGCAGTACAAGGGAGTCAGAATCAATGCATGAAAAGACTCCGAATGTACATGATGCAAGTGAGGAGATTGATGTAAGTAAAGGTGAGAGTGAGATTGTAGCATGAAGAATCAAATAATAGTTCACGATTAGAAAACAATTTAAGATACCCGCAACGAGTTAGAAAAGCGCCAGACTACCTGAGTGACCATGCAAAAAGTATTCAAAGTGAGAATGAGCCACCTTTAGTGTATACTGATTATTGTTATAAGATCAGCGGATTTCCCCAATCATATGCTGAGGCTATGAACTCCGCCGATGCTAAGCATTGGAAAGCAGCGATGTTAGAAGAAATGAGTTCTCTTAAGAATAACGATACATTCAGCTTAACCACTTTACCAGAAGGTAGAAAAGCAATGGGGGGTAAATGGGTATACACCATTAAAGATATCCCAGGGAAAGCTAAGACATATAAAGCTAGATTTGTTGCAAAAGGGTATAGCCAAGTTAAAGGCATAGATTATTATGATACCTTTGCACTTACAGCAAACATGACTACTGTTCGTGTGTTAATGCAAGTCGCTGCCCAAAATGATTTGATTTTGCAACAAATGGATGTAAAGACAGCATACTTAAATGCACCCATAGACTGTGAGATATTTATTGAACAAGCAGAAGGTTTTGAAACCCCTTCCCTTAACTCAGAAGAGAAATTAGTTTATAAGTTAAACAAGTCACTGTATGGTTTAAAGCAATCAGGTCGAAATTGGAATGTTTTATTACATACACATCTCGTAGAGAATGGTTTCACTCAGAGCGAAGTAGATCACTGTCTTTATTTTAAGAGAGTTAATGAAAACTTAGTGATTATTCTTATTTGGGTCGATGATTTGATCATTGCGGCAAACTGTGAAAAATCTATGTCAGAAACTAAACAACTGTTAATACGTAGATTCCAAATGAAAGATCTTGGTAAACTTTCATACTTTCTTGGTATTAAGTTTGATCAAGGAAGAGGGTATGTTAAGATGAGTCAGAGAGATTACATTATAAGGTTGTTAGAGAGGTTTGGCATGGGTGAATGTAAACCTAGACACACACCATCAGAGCAAAAGATGGAATTTACCGGGAGAGCTTTGAGTGTGTTAGGCAATATCGTGAGTTGATTGGTAGTTTGATCTATGCAATGACGTGTACACGACCAGACATATGTTGGACGATTACCGTCCTATCTCAATATTTGGCTAAACCACTTAAGGAGCATTGGGTTGCCGCGAAGAATGTTCTGCGTTACTTGAAAGGTTCGTTAGATTATGAGATATGCTATCGAATGGGATGTCAGAATTTGAAGTTGATTGGTTATAGTGATGCTGATTGGGCTAGTTGTGCTGTTGATAGAAGAAGTGTTAGTGGATATTGTTTTAGTTTGTCAAAGGAAGGGCCTCTAATTTCATGGAAATCAAAGAAGCAGCAAACCATTGCGTTATCCTCTTGTGAATCAGAATATGTTGCGTTATCACTTGCTGTTCAAGAGGCATTGCATTTGGTCCAGTTGTTGGCCAAACTGATTGAGTTAGAAGACCCAGTCGAAATTTACGAAGACAACCAAGGAACAATAGCATTATCCAAGGATCCAGTTAGTAGACAAAGAACAAAGCATATTGATGTAAAATACCATTTCATTCGTTCGAATATTAATGCAGGAAATGTTGTGGTAAATTATTGTCCTACTGATGATATGGTAGCTGACATCTTCACTAAGCCAGTTACTCGTAACAAGTTAATGAACTTCAAAGAATTCATCTTTGGAAAATGAACTAATGACATTTATTATCATTTAAAGGAAAGCTATACTAGAACACTTATATAAACATTTATATAAATTTTATGTTATGTTGATCTCGAAGAAATTCCAAAGAAACTTTATGAAGTTATGAGATCAAGTGGGGGTGTTGGAGTCTGATCTCAAACTTCCTGAACTATCATGTAAATACTAATTAATTATTCCATGTGCTTCTCTTCTACCGCTACTCTGTAACATGGCGTATATTAAACTGTTGTTATATTGAATCGCTTTTATTATCCTCCATCATGTCAAGAGACGCACCGTCAACATTTTGCACTTATCTCAAGTCAGCAAGATATGGCCAAAATAAGCATTTTTTAGACTAAAATTATCGGACAAAAAAAGTGGAACGATTATCTGCAGTTTGTACCTCAAACATTGAGGCAGGTCTAACTATTGAAAAAGCAAATTCTATTAATGCAAGTAGCAATTTTTCATATGATCTTAACAAGGTTTCTAGCAAAAGGGGTTTTAAAATGGTTTTCATGAAAGTGGTTATATCACGAATTTTAGCCCCCCTTTTTTATTTGCTAAATCGAAAGACCTTGTTTCAGTGATTTTAAATCTGAAATTATAATTGAAATTGGATTGGTGAAAGTGATTTTACGGACGTTCAAAGTCACGATTTTCAGCATTTTTTTTGCGAACTTTTTGATCGGTATGCTAATGACTTGTGACGTAGAAAGTTGAACACATATATCAACATGGCGTATTCTACTAGTAATCTTAATAAGAAACACGGAGGAAAACGCTGTGTTGCTGGCGGACCAAATCAAATTAGTTGCGCCAATGATTCAAAAACCGAAGGAATGTCGATGCATCTGTTTCCTAAAAAAGAAACAGAGCCGCAAAGACATAGAAAATGGCTAAATTTTGTGCGTAAACATAGACCGGGTTTTGAGGCTTCCTCTACCTCGTGTCTGTGTTCTGCGCATTTTGAAGATTCTTGTTTTGACCTTAATTTGAGCGTGTAAGTCAAGCTCAAAAGAAGGTCGAAGATAGATGCTATCCCAACCATTGACGTGGCTGGGATTCCTGAACCATTACAGGACGAAATAACCGATCGAAAGCGAAGACAAGTAAGTTTACGCTTGTTTATGTTAATTTTTCTTTTGTCATATGTAAATTCGATATAAGTTTTGTAGATTATTCGACATACTCTCCATAAGCCATCGCTGAAGGAAACATGTTCTCTCAATGAGGAAGTACCATCTACTAGTGATGAAGCTGAGCATGTTTAAGTATGCACTGGGGAAGCAAACGATTCGCCATTTGAACGGCTTGCTATTTTCCATTTTTACATTTATGCTATGATTTAATTCCATATATTTTTTCTTTTGTCTTTTTTCCCAGACTGACATTGAAGAAAAGATATTCTTTCATTTAATTCTTTCAGCTTAACCTCTCAGTAGTTGCACCAATTTGTTTTATTGTTTACTCTTGTTTCAAACCATTAAACTGCATGTCAACTTATATAGTGCATCCATGTATCTCCTATTTGGTTTTCATCTAGGCATATTTCCTGACCATTCCAAACTCAGCAAAGAAGGTCAACAGTCTCTACAGTGCACAAGTTAAAGACTATTCCATCATCGCCCTCTGATGGTATGTAACCTGTTGTGTTACCACTTGGATATGCTTTCCGAATAAAGTGGTAAACACAAGCAGGTAAAGGCCGAGTATTCTCCCATCCCATAGACCCATAAAACCATCGCATCAACCATCTGTATGCCACAGCTCTCAAGTACCTGAAGTAAATAAAAAGTTGGACTAATTATTGTTGATGAAACAATGTTGATTATAACATTGTTTCTCATACAATTTACAATCTTACATATTTAATGATTGTGATGCTTGGCGGCGATAAACACGTCCATTCCTATCCCTCAATAGTGGCCCGACGTTTTCAAGGACAGCCTCATGAACTAAAGGCCCAAATTTGGCATGCTGTGTTATGCATGATATTTTCTCAATGCTGACATCGAATGTCATTTTCTGCAAAGCTGGTCCTATTTCCTTACAGCATCTGTACTCTAATGCGCCTTCTAACAAATCGGTATGACAGCATTTACAATTACACCTGAAACGTGGGAGCATTCTGTTTATAAAGTAACTTTATGTATATTACAAACAGGAGAAAACAACAACTTACCATTCACCAAGTGGAACTACGCCATCACTTCGTTGTTCTAATGTCGCAGGGAGAATTCCATCGGGATCATCTGGAGTATGCACTTCATCACCATCTTCTGCTAGCGGTTCATCGTCATATGCGAAGTCGTTTAAATGCTCGACATAACCCACGGATTCCGAGCTCGAATCAGATACGCATTCAGACATCGAATTCGAATTATCTGAGCACTGATTTGAGGCCATACTTTCCGGACAACTTGTTTTTTAATATTTTGTCGAAAATACTGTCATTATTTGTTTTTAAGACAAGAAAAACGACAACAAAATCACCTTCTATAATATAATATTATATTGACGGAAACAGACGTGTTCAACTATCTACGTCACAACTATCAATATGGCGGCGTAAAAAATTCGCAAATAGTACCCGACTTTGGAGGCAAAATTAAGGAACTTATATTTATCTGTTTAAGTCCAGCGACATGTCATAGTTCTTCAAATAATCCAAATTTTCAATTAAGCTCATAAAAAAGGGGGGCTAAAATTCATGATATAACCACTTGAACATAGTCAGTCTCCCAAAAAATATTGATGAGATAAGGTGCTCCTTATCAAAGGGTCATATTGATTTAATAGCCTTTAACGAAACTAGGCTTGACTCAACCCTTAACGATGGTTTGATGCATGTAACTGGATATGATTTAATCCGAAAAGACCGTTCAAGGAATGGTGGTGGTGTTTGCATTTATTTACGCAATACCATAAACTATAAAATAAGAAATGACCTTGTCTCCACAAATATAGAAGCAATTTGCATTGAAATTATTAAACCAAAAAGTAAACCATTTTTAGTTGCCACAATTTACAGACCCCCTAGTGCTCCTTCTGAGTTCTTTAATGAATTTGAAAAATATATACAGTCAATGGATGATGAAAATCGAGAAATGTACATATTAGGTGATCTAAATTGTGACATGCTAAAACCATGTGACCAAATGTTAGAGAAAACAAAGAAACTTAAATCACTTTACGAAACCTATCAGCTTACTCAATTAATCAATCAGGCTACACGAGTCACAAAATGCTCCAAAGCCTGATTGACCACATAGTCACAAATACTCCTGAAAAATATCTGAATCAGGAGTTATTTACACAGGTATTAGTGACCATGATATGATTTTTGCAATTAGGAAAACTTCCATACCAAAAGTAAAACATCATTGAAATAAGAAACATGAAAAACTTTAATGAGAAAAAGTTTCTTGATGAACTCAGGGAGCAACCATGGGATTCTGTATATTTCTTCCCCCATGATACTAATGCTATGTGGGAAATGTGGAAAGGTCTATTCCTTGAGATTTTTGACAAATATGCACCCATTCAAAATAAAAAGATTCGAGGAAAAAATCTTCCATGGATGACAAGGGACATAAAAGAACTGATGAAAAATCGAGATTATTTGAAACAAGGCAATGAAAACAAATTTAGAAACAGACTGGCTGTGTTACAGGAAAAGCAGGAATAAAGTAAATATTAAACTAAAATACGCAAAAAAAAGAGTACTACTCTTCAAAGATTGTTGGTCAAAAACAAAACCCTAAACAGGCCTGGAAAACTATTAACAATTTATTGGGAAAACAAAAGAAAGAAACAGTTATAAATGAATTGATTATCAATGACAATACTTTTACAACCTCAGAAAGCATAGCAGAGGGCCTTAATATATATTTTTCTGATATTGGCCCAAAACTTGCTGAAGAAATCATCATCATCATCATCATGCAGTCAGTCGTAAGCGACGAGGACTGTTCTATGGTTGGATTGAAGCTCTCCAGGCCGGTCTGTTATCAGCCAATTGCTTCCAGGTTGTCACGTTGATGTCTCTCCTCTTTAGATTTCGTTTCATGACATCTTTGAGTCTGAGTCGAGGTCGGCCTTGGTTTCGTTTCCCTTCTACTAGTTGGCTGTACAATAGCTGGCGTGGTAAACGAGATCTCTCCATACGATGGACATGACCAATCCATCTTAAATTCTTTTGAATCAGCATGTCAGCCATGTGTGGCAGGTCAGTCAGACGGAGAATCTTAGCATTTGCGATCTTGTCCCGCCATGATATCTTCAGAATGTCCCGCAGTTGTCTCATCATATACGCACTCAGTTTCTTTACTTGAAGCCTGTAGATTGTCCATGCCTCTGCTCCATAAAGGAGTGTTGTCAGCACCACCGCCTGATAGACCTTGGCTTTAACTCTGGTCGAGACATGCTTATTTTGCCATAGCCGATCGTTTAGTTGACTGAACGCTGCACTCGCCCTTCCCATTCTGTTCCTCAGCTCCTTTTCAATCTTAGCATTGCTGGAGATTGTACTACCCAGGTAGTTGAAGTCTGTGGTCTGGACAAGAGGCTGTCCGTCAATGGTGATTGCACAGGGTTTTGGGGAGGGTAGAAGCTTTACTGGCTGGTAGAGGCACTCAGTCTTTTTGATGTTTATCTTGAGGCTAAACATAGCGGCAGCTTGTGCAAATTTGTCCACCAATGCCTGCATCTCTGCTGCACTGTGAGCAACCAGAGCACAGTCGTCTGCAAAAACCTAAACAAAACAAAACCCTAAACAGGCCTGGAAAACTATTAACAATTTATTGGGAAAACAAAAGAAAGAAACAGTTATAAATGAATTGATTATCAATGACAATACTTTTACAACCTCAGAAAGCATAGCAGAGGGCCTTAATATATATTTTTCTGATATTGGCCCAAAACTTGCTGAAGAAATAGACAACACAAAAACTAATTTTGAAAATTATATAAATACAACTAAATCAGAGTTTGCTGCCTTT